TCTGTCCAGCTGGTTGAGCTTCTTGCTCGCATCACCCAGCTGTGATACACTTCGTACAGCTTGATATCTTCATCTTGTACAATCTTTCTAAGTCCCTTGGTCTATTCCTAGACCTATACTTAGTCTTCCTTTGCTCCATTCTGATCATTCACTTAATCGAGCTTGGCCACGATCATTTCTCAGGATCGGGGACATGACACGGTTGGTCTGATTGGCATGGCTGAATGGCTGAACCTCAGTTGGACTGATCTGATCGTCCTGAGTCTGTTTCAAGTCCTGGTCCAGGTCCTGGGTTCCATCACTACGACACTCCGTGTGGTGACCCGTCCCGACCATCACAGTGATCAATCATCGTTTCTTCTCCATCACGCAATGCATGAGATGGCGTTCAACACCAAAGGTTCCAGATCTGATCGAATTCTCTTCTGATTTTGATCAATCTCGCAAAGCAATACGATCCTTGTCGTTTGTTGCGATCTGGTGTTACTCCACGAAGCAATCACGCACCACCCTGTCGCTTTCTCTCCACCATGCCGAAGATGACAGCGATCACGTACACAAGCCTTCATACCTGATTAAACCTCTTACTGGTTTTGATCAATCATACAGAACAACACGACCCTTGTCGTTTGTTTCTGTTCTCTGGATCACATTAACTTCTCGCCGGAGACATCCTGTTCCAGAAACATCTCGTCGGGAACACCTTCTTCATCAGTTACACCATTCAAAACGATCATTGTCGTTTCTCTGTGAGTGTGGATCATCACGATTGCTGGGATTTGAGATTGTTGATACCACTACAGCCAACATTGTTAGGAACACCATCTCCCCGTCCACACCAACATCTTGACGACAATAACGATCTGTTCCCTTATCATATGCTCTTTGGCATATTGTTTTCGTCACTTTATCCGCTGCTTTGGATCGATTTTCAGTCTGGGATATGAGCTCTATGGCTCGTTCCAACTCTGCTCATATGGCGGCTATGAAGGGAAAGAGTGTGGCTTATGAGGACGATGACGACGTACCTATTAAGCTATCGGCTCATGATGGTGCGAATGTAATACTGGAGTTTCGTCTATCGCTGATTGGCAAGATCTTAAACCCCAAAAAACAAAAGGTGGATAAGCTTATTCAAACCATGACATCACAGTGGGGTATGGAGGATAAGATCATCGCCAATGATCTTGGAAATGGGAAGTTTCCTCTGAACTTCGATACTGAGGAAGACTTAAACTATGTTCTTCGGCAGGGTCCTTTCCATTACAATTTTTGTATGTTCGTACTGGTTCGGTGGGAACCAATTGTACATGATGACTATCCCTGGATAATTTCTTTCTGGCCCCTCCACCACCATTCACTCACGTATCAAGGAGCAGGGGGAGCGTGAGAATGTATTCTCCCGTATGGAGATACCTCCGTCGCAACATAAGCATCAGACATCGGGCTCTCATACTTCAGCCCCCAATGCTACTGCATTAGATCGTGTTCACCGTACCTATGTGGACAAGGAGACGCGACGAGGTCCTCATTCTAGGCCACGATCTCCGCCATTGAACCGCGGAGATCCTCGCAACAGGGAGAGACACAATGACGCGCAGAGGAACCGGAGATGGAAAGCTGATGATCGCAAGGAAACTCATAGAATATCTAGGCGTGGTCAGGACAAGTCACAAAGGTTTGGAGGATCTAGACACGACGCAGGTCCTTACAGCCGTGGGAGTGATCAGTGCTGGAGAGCAAATTCGAATGATCCTCCTTGTGCGCCTGTTAATGTTTCTGAGGCGCCAACGCGGGCCAGGGAGATAGCTGAGGTTAGGCTGGAGAACACTGTCTTGCAGCCGAATGATGATGCCAGACAGCAGAGGAGGCTTGCTAGCGCAATTGTTACCCCAACTGCGGTGGCACACACTATGGAGCGCAACATAACGATCCGTACTAAAGATGTTGCGAAAACTCTTTCTTTCTCGCCTTTGCGAGAACACGATACTGATGATACGGAACAAATGATTGGATCCCTGAATGACATGGAGATGACGGATCAACATACGGATTGCTTTATGGAGGTAGAACCCAATGATTCAAATGATGATGATTTACTTGGAGAGGAACTAAGAGAGGCGGAAGAAGGCATCATCAAAGGTACCATGAATGGGGATAAGAGCCGCAATGCTGGACGTAGGTCGGAAAGTAAGCATCCCCGCCAGATGAGAGATGGTGGTAGACATAATGCTTCTTTGGGCATGTCTAACAAGAAGCTGGATGTCCTCCGTAGGGGATCTCCCTCAAAACGATCGAAGACAGGTTCCACTATAGTTGACGCGAGGCATGGGAATCGTCGACATGGGAAGAAGGCTACTGATGGTCGGTCAAAAGGTGATGGTTTGATGAGGTCCAAAACCTCATCCCACCATTATCCATGAAGACAATCAGTTGGAACTGTCGAGGGCTAGGAAACAACCTCACAGTTCGGCGCCTTACGGAGATGTGTCAGAAGCATCGCCCAGGACTTGTGTTTCTTTCTGAGACGAAGAATAGGAGGCTGCTGTTGCAAGACATTCAGGCTGACCTAGGTTTTGATCGTTTGTTTACCGTTGAGCCACATGGTCTCAGTGGAGGTTTAGCTTTGTTTTTTATGGATGATTTTCAAGTTAAAATTTTATTTTCAAATAACAGAATGATTGACATTGAGGCAATCATTGATGGAATAAAAGTTTACATGACGTTTGTTTACGGAGATCCTGTTTTAGAACGTAGGGAGTTAGTTTGGGAACGTCTTACGCGTTTCTCAACAACAAGAAATGGACCTTGGTTCATGATTGGTGACTTTAATGAGATTACATGCCCTGAAGAGAAAGAGGGGGGTCGTGACCGCTCAGACAGCTCTTTCTTGCCTTTCAGACAAATGTTAAGTGATTGTGGAATGTTGGAATTTCCATTCACAAGAAATATGCTATCATGGGCTGGGATAAGGGCAGGGAGGGTTACAGTTAGATGCCGTCTAGACAGAGTTGTTGGTAATGAGGATTGGCATGATAAATTTCCTCATAGAAAGACACAGTATATGAGGATGTGGGGATCGGATCATCGTCCGATCCTAGCTGATATTCTTAAAAAGAGACCGCGGAGATCAAAAAAATTTAAGTTTGATAAGCGGTGGTTGGACAATGAGGAGCTCAGACAAGTGATTTTGGAAGGTTGGAAATCACCGGATCTGCCACCAGAAGCCAGCATAATGGAACACATAGCAAGCTGTAGACGGGCTCTGAGTGAGTGGAAGAGACAGCACAATCTCAATTCTGAGAGAAGTGTGGAGAAACTAAAAGAGAGAGTAGACCAGCTATCTTCGAATGACGATGCCACTACTGAGGAGATTGCAGCGGCTTTAAAAGAATTGTCTGATGCCCTTAAGGCAGAGGAGTTGTTTTGGAAACAGAAGTGCAGAGTCTTTTGGTTACGAGAAGGAGACAGAAATACAAAAAAATTTCACGCTCTTACGAAGCAGAGGAGAGCAAGGAACAGGATTACGCAACTTCTGGATGAAAACGGAAATGTGGTTCAGGATGAGGAAGGATTAGTAGCCATTGCTACTAATTATTTTAGACATATTTTCCAGTCCTCAAATCCGGAGGACATAGAGGAAGCCTTATCGGAAGTCTCTACTACCATCACACCTATGGATAATGAAGGACTTACAGCGCCAGTAACTGAATGGGAGATTAAGTTAGCTCTGTTTGCCATGCATCCAGAGAAAGCCCCGGGCCCGGATGGAATGACTGCGCTCTTTTACCAAAAATTTTGGGATATTGTCAAAGAGGATTTAACTCTTCTGGTTAATAAATTCCTGTTTGAAGGAGAGATACCTAATGGCTTAAATGAAACAAACATATGTCTTATCCCGAAAGTTGATAAGCCGGATCAGATGAGTCAGCTGCGTCCAATCAGCTTGAGTAATGTTAGCTATAATATAATCTCTAAGGTCTTATGCCAGAGGTTAAAAAAGGTTCTTCCAGAGAGATTATCAGAAACACAGTCGGCCTTTGTTGCGGGAAGGCAGATTTCTGATAACATTATGATTGCCCAAGAGCTGTTTCATGCCCTCAGGACTAAACCAAGTGGAAGGAATAAGAGAATGGCGATTAAAACGGACATGAGTAAGGCGTACGATAGAATGGAATGGTCATTCATTGAGGCTACCATGAGGAAGATGGGTTTTGCAGAAGTTTGGATAACTTGGATTATGCGCTGCATAACTTCTGTTACGTATAAGGTACTGATGAATGGTCAACCAAGAGGGAATATTGTCCCAGAGAGAGGTCTACGACAGGGGGATCCTCTGTCCCCTTTCATTTTTATTCTGTGCACGGAAGCGCTCGTTAGCCTTCTAAATCACGCAGAGAATCAAGGAAAGATAACGGGGATGCGTATCACGCGTGCGTGTCCATCGGTATCCCACCTTCTCTTTGCTGATGATAGTCTGTTTTTCTGTAAGGCGGAGCCCCGTGAATGTGAAGAAGTAATGAAAGTGGTCAAGAAATATGGACAAGCCTCTGGTCAATGCATTAATTTTGACAAATCTTCTTTACTCTTCGGTAAGAGGATTGGACAGGAGGTCAGACAAGAAATCAAAGATACACTTGGCATTCAGAATGAAGGAGGAATGGGCACTTATCTAGGAATCCCGGAGGATATAAGTGGGTCCAAATGTAAGCTTTTTGCGTTCCTGAAGGATAAGTTAAGACACAGGGTTAATGGATGGACAGGCAGGTGGCTATCAAAAGGTGGGAAGGAGGTTATGATCAAGTCGATCCTACTAGCTCTGCCGACCTATGTTATGTCCTGTTTTCTTTTGCCCTTGGAGATATGTGATGCCCTAGCTAGTGCCATTGCGCAGTTCTGGTGGAGCTCTAATCCCCCAAAAAGGGGTATCCATTGGTCCACTTGGGATAAAGTATGCTTACCAAAGGAGGAAGGTGGGATTGGGTTCAGGTTGATTCATGAATTTAACTTGGCATTGTTGGCAAAACAATTATGGAGGCTGAGTCAATATCCGGATTCTTTGGTTGCTCGTGTAATGAGGGGACGGTACTATCGATCAGGTTCGCCTTTGTGCAAGCTTTCAACTAGTAACCCATCATATGTGTGGACTAGTATTTCGGCGTCACGCGAATTATTGTTATTGGGCATCAGACAGAAGATCCATTCGGGGTATGAGGTGAAAGTATGGGAGGATCCTTGGATTCCTACCATACCTGCGAGACCGGCGATCCCATCTGCACCGGTTTTGCACCCAAACATGAGAGTCAGTGATCTTATTAATCAAGAGACGAAGGCCTGGGACATAACAAGACTGGAACAATACGTCAGTGCTGTCGATATACCTCTCATAAGGAGTATGTCCATTAGTTCGACACATCGGAGAGATACATTCTGCTGGAGCTATACTAGGAATGGACAATATACAGTCAAGTCTGGATATTGGGTGGCACGGAATATTTTAAAGAGAGAGGAAATGCATGTAGCTAGTGAACCTAGTCTTACTAAATTACAAGCGCAAGCTTGGAAGGTGAGAGCTCCACAAAAAATGTGTCATCTTATGTGGCAGATAATATCAAGTCAGTTAGCTGTTACGAGTATCCTGAACTATCGCCATANTAAAGAGAGAGGAAATGCATGTAGCTAGTGAACCTAGTCTTACTAAATTACAAGCGCAAGCTTGGAAGGTGAGAGCTCCACAAAAAATGTGTCATCTTATGTGGCAGATAATATCAAGTCAGTTAGCTGTTACGAGTATCCTGAACTATCGCCATATGCGGTGTGATAACTATTGCCCACGTTGTGGAGAACCGGAGGAATCGATTACACATGCAATCTTCCTGTGTCCTCCTGCAAAGCAAGTCTGAGCGTTGTCGTCTTTACCCACTAGCCCGTCTTCATTTCCATTACAGAGCACATATGCGAACATGGATTATCTCTTTTGGAGGAAGGATGCCATAGGAGGACAGGCAGTAGACATGGATCCTTATCCTTGGCTAATTTGGTATATTTGGAAGGCTAGGAATGACAAATTGTTCAAAGGAATTGATAGAGACCCATTGGAGACAGCACGATATGCAGAGAGTGAATGCCTTGCCTGGTATCAAGCTAATGAGCAGTCGTCCTTACCTTCTCAAATCGACATGAATGGTGGTAACCAGATCATGAGTCTGGGGAATATATGTTTAGTGGATGGTTCCTGGACCTCCACAGCTCAATATAGCGGATGTGGCTGGGTATGGCAGGATAGTATGGGGAAAGATCACCTAATGGGTTTGCGTAACTTTGATAGAGTGGAGTCTGCTTTGCATTCTGAGCTGGAAGCCCTGCGGTGGGCAATGGAGAACATGCTTCAACATTTGCCATGTCAGAGCTTTGGGACGGATTGTAAGGAGGTAATATCGATGTTAAGGAAACCACAGGACTGGCCGCGTTTTTCAACGGAATTGGAAAAGATCGCTACCCTGCAGATTTGTTTTCCCGAGTTTAGAATTGTTCATGTTCCTAGGGCTCAGAATGGTTTTTCCGATTCACTAGCTAGGACTGCTCGATCCTTTTATCGAGAATTGGTGTTTATAGGTTGTTCTATTCCGGTCTGGATCCCCAGACCACCTCAAGCTTGAGTAATAGATCAGCCGTTCGTTGTCAAAAAAAAAAAATAATGAGACTTGATAATTAATTTGTACTTGCAAAAAGTAAAAAACCAAATATTTGTTTCCCAACTTGATGATAGCAAGTAAAGTATTTATTTTTTCAAACCAAATACGAGGGGAGTAGAGGCACAAGCCGAGCACCGAGGAATTAAAACCATTAGCTCAAATTCTTAGCAAAAACGTGCACAATGTATAACCATTGCTTTTAACTTACATCCAACTTTAGTTTTACCACAATTGAGATACTAGCTCGAACCTATTTCCTTATCTCCCTTTTGGCATTATTATCAAGTCAGTGAATGCACAAATACAACCAGTGATATTCAATTGTTTAATTTTTTTTCCTCGTGTCATACACATTATTATAATCCTAAACCATCCCGGTTCTTAACATCCAATACAATAGTTATCTCCCCCCCCCGGTTATTGAAACTAAGGAGCTTCACTTGCCAGTGTAAAGAGGCTTACGCTTCTCAGCAAAAGCAGCTAATCCTTCAAGACGATCTTGAGTGTTAAGAAGCTTCTGATAACACATCTCCTCAAGCTCCAAACCTGAAGCCATATTTGTCTCGATTCCTTCATCAATCGCTTTCTTTGCCATCTTTATCGCCATTGGACCTTTCTCATTTATCTGCTGAGCCACTTCCATTGCTTTCTTATGAGCCTCACCCGCCGTAACACAAAAGTTCACTAGCCCTGCACCACAACACAAATAAAGAGTATCAATCAAGAACCATCCTTTCTTCAGTTGATGTATATGTCAAAAACATGTTCACAATTCAACTTTAATAGTGACAGTCTCACAGACCTTTCTTTGCAGCTTCTACTGCATCAATCTTTCGACCAGTGAATATAAGTTCCTTTGAAACTGATCTTCCAACGAGCCTTGTGAGCCGCTGTGTCCCACCAGCACTGATTAGAAGCCGAGAGAAAGAAGAAATCAGCAGAAGATTGATAAACGGGGAGTCATGGAGGTTGTGATATATACCCAGGGATTACAGCGAGTCCTGTTTCAGGCAAACCAAATACTGCATTTTCGCCTGAAATATTCTTAATATTAACAACCATGGGACATCTCAGCCGATAGACTCTAATAAGAAAGATGATCAGATATGAATACCACAGATTCGAAGATCACAGGATAGAGCCATTTCGAGTCCACCTCCTAGTGCCACACCTTCTATTGCAGCAATAGTTGGGATACTCAATGCCTAGGATACACAAGTCTTCTAAGTCACTATAGCATGAGGAGAACCAAATCCTAGAGCATTTACATAGAAGTAAAGTAGCGCATGAAGCTAATAATTTCAGATCACTAGAAACCATCACAAAATCCTCTTCTCTTTCATAAGTTTGAAGACTAATAATAAATATCCTGATAAACCAGAGCTAAGTTTACAAATGTAGTAGGCAGCCTACTAACAATTTGACGAGGAGTTTTTTTTTGTGTAGGAATTAACACCTCTATGAAGGAGAACATGTAGCGCAATGAGTTGACATATGTGTGAACCTCAGATGGACTCATAGTTCTACGTTCCTGACATGAAAACAAATTAAAAAAACCTCAGATGGAATTTGTTTTTTAAGCTATTGAATATATGATCATTCCAGACGAAATGAGGGAGCGGGAGCGGCGCAAAACTACCTTGAGATCTGCACCTGCACAGAAAACTCCTGGAACCAGACTTGTGATCATCACAACTCTAGCTGAACTATCCTTCTGAATGGTCTCAAATGTGTTCTGGAGACCTTTCAGCATCTCCTTATTAATGGCATTTTTGGCTACAGGCCTGTCTAGATTGACCTCGACAATCCCTGCAAATCACACAAGCAGTGCATTTGCCATCTATCCGTTTACGCAAACAAACTCTATAGGTCACTAAAAACATTAATCCAACAGTATCCATGCTCAGACATCCAAAAACACAAATAAGAAACAACATGTAGAAAGATTCTCAGAACAAGATCAAACTCAGACAAGATTCACTGGTGGTGGCTAAAGATTTTTAACATGAGTAACAAATAGCATAACAGAGAGAAGCAAACCCAACTGTATTTTAAGTATTAATTAACCCTAACAATAGAACCCATAAACACACACACACACATCAATTCTATAAGGGAAAATAAAAAAAAAAGTGAAAATACCAGAATCAGACCCAGAGAGACGGTTAAGCTTGACGGATTCAGGCGGAGCGGTTTCAATGATGAGAGTCCTGCAGGTCTGAAGCATGCAACTTCGGCTAAGAGATAACAAACTATCACGGCGGAGATACTTGACGAAGCTCATCTTCACCAGTCTCTGCGACTCTAAAGTTTTTGACTTCTTAGAAATCTCTTCTTCTTTTTTTCAAATGACAGGCTTTACTTTACTTAACATTCCGGTTCTGTCAGTCAGTCCGTTCTTCGATCTGATTCTCAAGCTTTTTTTTTCTTTTTTTTTTTGGGTTTCCGGTTCGGTTTTTAAATTGTGTAGGTAGAAAGAAAGACTCTAACTAAACTGAATCCGGTCTGATCCGGTTTGTGTTATCTCTACCAAGTTTTTCTTCTTACTAGTATACTAGGATAAGACCCGCGCCTTGCGCGGGATGAAGCTATTATTTTTATTATGTTTTGAAAAATGAAACAATAGTTCGGTTTCATTCGGATTATAGGTGCTCAATTCGGATATCGGGTTTCGGTTCGGCTCAATTTTTTGTCCGATTTTTTGGTATTTCGATCATTAAAATATAACTACTATTCTAAATCTATATGTACTACAGTTTGATTTGGTTTATATACCATCGGTTTTCAGTTTATTCAATTTTATACCAAAAAACATAATTATTTAGTTTGAGATCATATTATATATTATACAAATATANGTCCGATTTTTTGGTATTTCGATCATTAAAATATAACTACTATTCTAAATCTATATGTACTACAGTTTGATTTGGTTTATATACCATCGGTTTTCAGTTTATTCAATTTTATACCAAAAAACATAATTATTTAGTTTGAGATCATATTATATATTATACAAATATATAATATGATCATATTTAGAGTCATATTGCCACAAGGTCATTTATTAAAAAAATATTATATATTTAAATAAAAGAAAAAAACAAAAAGGCTTCTATCATCTAATAAAATGATCAAATCTAGAATTAATATCAAAACACTAAATTTTGAAAAAAAAAAACAGAAGCATGAAAGAAAAGTTTTTATATTCTTCCACATTTAGTGTTCATCAAACCAATATGTCTTTGATTGAACACAACTCTGTTTGTTTAAAGATAAAAAAAATTGTAAAGAATTTCAACTAATTGTTGTCCATCAAATTTATAATCTTTACTTCAATTTAGTTAGTGTTAAAAAAGCAAAATATCAAAATAAGAAGTCTCAGTTGTAATAAATTGTTAGCTATTTACAAAATATAATTATAGTTCAACTCATATAACAAATAGATATTCATGTGTCGTTATAAATATATACATATTTACATGTTTCAGTTTAATCGGTTATAAATCAACCATATCCAAATCCTATAGTTTTTATAAAATCACATCCATTCGGTTTGTAAGGTATATACCAAAACTAACCATATTATCGATTGTTAATATCTTTTAAAAATATAAAATTAAAAAAGAACTAAGATATTTAAATCATTGTTAACAAAAATTTTCAATGTGAAAAATTTAATAAGTTTATAATTTATAAATGTTCTTGAAAATTTATTCAAAATTTTGAAATTAAAATATTTATGTAATCTTATATGGTATATAGTTTAATCTGTATATATATTTGTTTTATTATTGAATGATACTTTTACTTATATGGTTTTAAAATAATGTATATCTTTTTATAATAAAAATATTAAACTATTGATCATTAATTTTTAACATAATAATTTTAATAGTTTAGTTATTTATTCTCATTTTTAAAAATTCAAAATATAACTTATACGAAAAAAATCGAAAGTTTAACATAAATTCCCAAGTTAACATATTAAGTTTTACATTTTACATATACACTTGCCTTTACCATTAAGTATGTACTTGGTCACAAAGTAATTTTCATTTTACATATACACTTCCATAAATTAAAAGGAATGAAGTTATTATAGTTAATATATGCAAATCGTTATCAAATCGTATATTTTCCTTTTCTTCCATTACATGCGTGCGATATATATAAATATATAAACTATGTTACATGCGTTATATGCGTCTCTAATTATTTTTCCCTAGCAAATTTCAATTGAACCTAAAGCTGCNTTAATATATGCAAATCGTTATCAAATCGTATATTTTCCTTTTCTTCCATTACATGCGTGCGATATATATAAATATATAAACTATGTTACATGCGTTATATGCGTCTCTAATTATTTTTCCCTAGCAAATTTCAATTGAACCTAAAGCTGCCACGTCAGTTTAATTGGTATGCTAATTGATTGACAACTAAGCAAGGTTATTTTTTAATTAATACAAACTTGAGGTTACATCTTTTCAAATGTTTCTCAATTAATATATAGGGGATTGAAAAGAGAGGGAAAGAAATACACAGAAGTACAGTATACATTGGTGGTGAAGCCTCAAAGACTCAGACTTTATGCACCCAGGCATCAAGTCGAAGCTGCTTCAATGGCGGACCTGATTTCCCTTTCCTTTTCTGAGGGCAACTCCATTTTCCTGCAATCTCCTCTCCCCCAGATAGCTGATGGTTCGACACTTCACACAAAACTCTTCTCTTCTTCCTCTTCTTTCTTTCTTCCTCTTCTTCTGTCGCCATCTTCTTTAACTCTTTACTTCTTGAGCACTCCCCCAGACCTCCTCTATTTGGTCTCGTCATGGAACTTTGGTCTCTTGATTCTCTAAATCTCGCCTTCTTCTTCTTCTTCATCGTCACAAATCCAGTTTCAGGGCTTTTTCCGTCAACATTTTCCTTGTCATCTGATTCTTGGTTTACTGACTCCAGGTTTTCTTCACTTTGAGCAGCTTTTCTTGGAGAGCTCGTGGAAATGGTTTCCTGGATATGTTTTGGTCTCAGATTCTGTAAATAAGCTAATGATTGTGGCTTTGAGTTGTAGCCGCTAAAGTTTGCTTCTTCTTTCGTTTCACTGAACAATGGTTCTTGCCTGAAGCTTGATTCTTGTTCCACTTCTTTCGTTGAGACATTGAGCAGGGTAAGTGTAACCGGTGACTTCTTTTCCCGTTCTTGGTTTTTTGAATATGCAGAGACCTCCTTGCCCTAACACGTAGAATCAAGAAAGAGTCAATGAGAACTAACTGACAAATAGATTTCATCTGATTACATAGCGTCTCTTTCTTTAAACTACAAAGTGCAGTAATGATTTCCCGTTCTGTGGAAGGTTCAAGATCATAGCTTACCGTGTCTGCGGCTGCGTTTTCATTGCAGTCATTTGATTTTAATCTCCCAGGAGCAATAGTGTCTTGCTTGCTCTTGGTTTTCCGAAAAATACCACAAGTATTTTCTTCCTCAGTGTCACTCTCCTCAATGATTAACTCATCTTGCTCACAAGAAGAATAGAATTCAAGTTCATGAGTGTCTGAAAGGTGTGGAGATTCATACACATAGCTTGAAAACCAGTTTCCAACATCAGGAGGTTCTGATAAAAGAAAGAAAGAAAGATTCAACTCTGGCGTTCTTTAAATATTAACACATGTTAAGAAAACAGACACAGTAATGAGATGCTGAAATAAACTAGTTATTACCAACCTGAAAGGAGATGCTGAGACTGAGAGCAATCTGTAACCTGAGAAGAGACTACTAATTCGTGAGCAATAAGCATCAGAGAGCTTAAAAGAGAGAAACATAGATTCATAAAAGATACCTTTGCAGAAGAGACGAGCTGTTGCTCAAACAAACTAGGACAAACATCAATTTCTTTAGTCCCTTCGTCTTCTGCTTGAGTCTCCTTTACACATTCACTATCTTCTCCACCAACCGAAAAGTGAAGAGCATCATTTGTATCCAGGGTGGGCGGTGATTCATAAGCATAGCTAGAAAACCAATTGGCTATACCAGGAGGTTCTGAGAAGCAAACACACAAAAGTTACAAACATAACCAATCAAAAAAGCTATAGAGACTTTCCATAAAGTTTAACAATCAAAAAGGGAGGATATACCAGAAGGGAGTGATTCATCATAGAGATTCGTATCTGACAACTGCCACATACAGTAAGTAAAATGAATTTAAAACAAATCAAAAAAAAGAACCCAACAAGAGTGAATAATCAATTGTAAAACCTGTGTCACATTCTTGTTCATAGATTTAAGTTCGCTATCACTGTTCTTGACTGAAGAAGTCAGTGCGAGTGATTCATAAACGTAACTTGAAAACCAATTCTTAATCTCTGGCGGCTCTGTTAGAAAAAAAAAATTTTTTTTTTTTTTTTTTTTTTTTTTTTTTTTTGAATGTCAAGAGGACTTGAAAATTGCAATCAGAATAATCGATCGTACCCAATATTAAAATCACTCACGGGATATGGTAAATGGAGAATCGGAGTATCCAATAGGTTCCTGCTACAAACAAAGCTCGAATTCTCAGCTAAATCCCCACCCCCCAGAGAAATCATATATGCCCATAAATTCAGGAACAAAATTAAAAGGAGGGAAATGAATATTTCTCACCGCCTCCGAGTGAACTTCTTCCATTAGAGTACGACGTCTTCTCGATCTTTGCTTTTCTTCCTCACTCGTCGTCTGAGTGAGAGGTCTATTTTACATTTTCGTTTTTTTTATTTCCCGCGCTTAGTTCATGAGAAGCGGAAAATCCAAAATATAATATTGGGCCTTTTAATGTCAATGGGCTTATGCTACAAACGTGTTTTATTACGATTTAATTCAGACCACTTCATTTGATATAACACAAACAATTAGAGCCAATGATTACCTCTTCATATCTGAGATCCTTCATACTACTCAAAGCCCAATCGAGACATCGAAGTTCTGATGTTAGTCTGTTAGGTGACAAGGCCAGAGCCTCCCTCGCATGATGCATTACATTCCCCAATGCGTCTCTGATGATAAATGAAGCTCCACTATGTAGCACGGCATTTCTCCAATTAGCATGAATATTGCACTTGACAGCACCAGGCATAGGAGCTTCCCAGCGCTTACTTTCTTTAGCAATCCATTATCGTTTGCCATATTATCTGGAGTCTTATTAAGTTCATTCCATAACCTATCTTCCTCACAAGCTTGTTGGATTTTAAGTATCCAACGACATCTGCGTATCATCATAGAGGATAGAATTCCTGTTTTTCCATATAGTCCAAAGGACCCATGGTATCGCTTGACGTTGTTGTTCAGAAGCCGATCCTGCAGATACGATTTTGAGGTGTATAGAAAGTAGTTCCATTAGTTGCAGGTTGTCATGTTTCAGTTTCTCTGGGATACCTATCCGAAACCATATATCTCGTGCAAAAGGGCAATGAAACAAAACATGGACAATTGTTTCATAATCTAAAGAACAGAGCTTGCATGTAGTATCAAGATTCATGCCAGGAGTACTTAACCGTTCAGCTACTGCCAAAGCTCCAAAGACCGCTCTCCATAGAAAGCTACGAATCTTGGCTACGGTGGGAGTCTTCCAGATCAGACGTTTTACTTCCAACACCTCCGAGTCATTCCAGTTTGAGGTAAGTACCTGAGATTCCTTCAATTTTGATGCCAGGGAATAACCACTCTTAATTGAGTAAGACCAATGCATAGTGTATGCCCATATGTCTCGATCAGATGTTTCTCCAACGGGGAGTTGCAGAATGCGTTGGACTTCATTTGATGGGAATAACTCTTGAAGTTTTGAGGTATTCCGCTGACCATTATCATGTTGGAGATCCTCCACCTTCAAATTAACATCGATTGACATATTCCTTCCTATTAACAGGTCTTCGAGGAATATCATCCAAGATCCATGTATCTGACCAAATATGAGTAGATTTTCCATCGCCAATCGATCGGATGAGTCCTTTACCAAGTAGCTCACGTCCAAATAAGATACTTTTCCATGCGTAAGATGAACGTACACCTTTACCACAGTCCATGAAGCTTTTATTTGCAAAATATCTTCCTTTGTAGATCTTCGCAATCAAACTTTCAGGGTTATTAAGTATCTGCCACGCTTGCTTCGCTAAGAGAGCTTGATTAAAGTCTTCAATATTCCGGAACCCTAAGCCACCTTTCTCTTTTGGTACACACAACTTTTTCCAAGAAATCAAGTAGATCTTCTTCTTCTCACCACATTCATCCCACCAGAAGCTTGCCATTGCACTCATGATCTTCTGACAGTGGTTTTTTGTCAATCTAAAACACGACATGGCGTACACCGGCAAGGCAATGGCTATAGACTTGAGTAGAATATTCTTTACCCCCGGAAAACAACTTCTTAGCAAACCAGCCGTGTAGTCTCTTATTTAACTTCTCTCCTACAAACGCCAGTAGGTTTTGTTTAAAGCCAGTAAAGCATTCAGGTAGGCCAAGATATTTGCCATCCCCACCCTCTTTCTCAATGCCAAGAATCTCAGCTAATAACCGTTTCATAATTAGATCAATCCCCACACCAAAAGTTATGGCCGATTTCTGAAAATGAATAACCTGGCCTGATGAATCCTCGTATACCTTGAGACATTGTAGGAACTGAGAACATTCAGCTAACGTGGCTCGGCATAAAAAGAAACTATCGTCTACGAAAAGTAGGTGTTGAACAGCCGAGCATGCATGAGCTAACTTCATACCTGTAAAAATTCCCTTTTGTTCAGCTTGGTTCATCGTATGGATCAGAGCCTCAGCGCATAAAATGAATAGAAAAGGAGAAAGGGGATCTCCTTGTCGAATGCCACGTTGGGGGAGATATGACCATACAATTGACCGTTGAGGAGCACCGAGTAGGAGACATAACGTACACAACTCATAACCCTGTCAATCCATGTAGCATGAAAACCCATCTTTACAAACAGAGCCTCTAAGAAATTCCACTCAACTCTATCAAACGCTTTCGACATGTCTGTTTTAATGGCTATGTAATCTGACTTACAACTTGGATTAGTCCTCGGGCCATGAACCATTTCATGAGCAATTAGCAGGTTATCAGAGATAAGCCGACCGGCTACCTTGAGCCGGCGAGATGAAATGAGGTAAAACGTATCTTAACCTACCACACAGGATCTTGGAGACGATCTTATACACTATCGAAAACAGGCTGATCGGTCGGAGATCCTTGATTTGTGTAGGGTTATGTAACTTAGGGAGCAAGAAAAGCTCGGTGAATTCCAATCTGCTGGTAGCTGACCATAATCAAAGAATTTCCTTACTTCCTGTGTCACGTGAGGACCTGTAATATTCCAAAACTTCTGAAAGAACTGTTCTGTCATCCCATCCACACCTAGAGAGCTATCACTCTTAATAGCTTTTACTGCATGTTTGATTTCAGCATCTGACACTAATTTAATCAAATATTTATTCATGTGTTCCGTGACTCTTGGTGCCATACTCTCCAGCAAGTCTGTAGAATCCGCCGAGCCATTTGATCGAAAGAGATCCGCGAAATACTCCACAGCGATCTTCCCTTTCATATATTCTGTAAAATGCTAATTTCCGGACCCATCCACCAATGAGTGGATCTTATTTTTCATCTTTCTGGACTCCACCCAGCCATGGAACACTTTTGTGTTCTTATCTCCTACACAAAGCCATGAGTTCTTACTTTTTTGTTTCCAAAATTCTTCCTCCTCCTGAAAGGCCTTTTCTAATTCAAGACGCATTTCTAGAAGCCTTGTAAGGTTAGGCCTCACCTTGCTCTCTTCCAGTTACAAATATTTGCGTAGCCGATTGATGTTAACGTTGGAATTAACATTAGCAGTCCTTTTCCATTTGGACAACTCTTGCCTGCGAGATCTAATCATTTCAGAGACTGAAGCTGGATTAAGGGAACCATTCAAGCTCCATCCTCTATGCATGACATCATGGATTCCTGGCTTCTTTAACAACCATTTATCAAACATAAAGCAGCATGTTCTCTGCGGTTGAGAAGCATCCAAACTAGTGAATAATGGCATGTGATCTGATCCGGTCTTTTCCAAGTAAAAGGAGTGAGAACTTGGAAAAAGACTAAACCATTCAGCATTACCAAAGGCCTTATCAAGCCTACACTGAACCCACACCTTCTCTTTCAGTCCATTACTAGTGATCTCTCTTACACCAGACCAAGATAACCTATTCCCCGAACTAGGAATCTCTTTTAGTCGACAGTTACGAGCCAAGGCTCGAAATTCATAAAAGTATCTTTCTTGCCTCCTTGATCCATCTACTTACTCTAAGTTACTCATCAACTCATTGAAATCACCTACCAAAAAACAGCCTCCATTTCTATTGATACCAATGTCTTTCAACATGTTCCAAACAGCAGCCTTTCATTGTTGAACTGGGTCTCCATAAACAAATGATATGAAAAACAATCTTGAGCCACACTTTATCTTCGTATCAATGATCCTATTTGTGGCTAACAATACCTCAACTTCAAAATTCTTCTTCCAAAACAGCGCTAAGCCTCCACTAAGTCCCACTGGGTCCACCAGAAAACAATGGTCATAACCCAACAAACTTTGAAGCTTCACGACATAAGTACTAGAGTTTTTAGTCTCTAGGAGAAAAAAAAATCCGGGAGATGTACACGGTACAACTCCTCTAGGCGTCGAACTGTCAAGCTGCGTCGAACTGTCAAGCTGCCTCTCAAGCCTTGACAGTTCCAACTGAGCGTCGTCATTGAGAATTGGATGGTTTCTGGTGAACCATCAAACCTTTAGCTGACTTAGACAATTTTGAAGTGGCTCTCATCACCATCATTCTCAATCTGTTTTGTTTGTGGTCGAGATGATCTCTTACTGTTCCTCTTCCATGAAGACACTTTCCTCTGATTTTCTCTGATACCCCCTCTTTGTAGAGAAGATATTGGGAAATTACAGCCAACTTCGAAATTTCCAAATTTAGCTGCATCGAACAAACCAAAAGTATCACCTTCTTTTTTGAAGAACAAAAGTATCACCTTCATCTTGTTATGTACCTCGAGTCTGTGACACAAGACCATTGCCTTCTTCTATTTTAAGACATGTCTGAGCTCTGTTGAATCTCGTCTCAGAGGTATATCTCATTTGTTGTCCAGCAACAAGGGTTAGGTGGTTGTCATTACTACGAGATTTCCTCTATTGAACCTCTGTATGACTAGATGATTCTCCCCTCTCAAGATTATCCCCATCAATCATCTTCCTATAGTCAAAGACCAAACCCTTATTCTTATTAAAGAGATTGGAGACAACCGGAGCCTCCTCCATACGCAATTCACCACGCTGAGCTATTGAATCTTTAGACAGATCCTCCAAAGCTTTCTTCATTCTAAATTCTCGTATTCTTCGTTCCTCAGGATCAATGCAATTCATGTACAATTGCATTTGTTCAAAAACTTCAGGAGCTATTAAACCTGCAGGCGGAGCGAAACCTGGGGGCACCATAGGTGCTAGTAATGGCATTATGTCTTCAACCAGGTTTGGGTTGTGTTTTCCTCTGAGTTAATCTTTGCATACTAGATGAACTTTGGCCGCTTCTAACTTTTGCGTTTGCCACTTGTTGTCCTTTCCGTAAGGGACAAGCCTTCTGCTCATGTGATAATCGGAGAC